TGCCAAACGTCCCTTCAGTCACCGTCTTCATCAAAGTGTCTTCTTCATCTCTCGAAACCGAAACTCCATAACCACCACCAAGCTTGATCTACTTTCAAAAACAAACACCACACACTGACCTCCACCTACAAAACCAAGACAAAATTTCAGAGAACAATTTCAACAAGAAAACGCTTCAAAGGTAAGACATTTACAAACCAAACCTACACTGTGATTTTGATTAATTGCTATAGAGTTCCAGTCTATGGTAATAACAGTATTTTAGATTCGAATCAAGGACAAAATCTTGAAACTATATTGGATTTCACTATTGCACTGACTGCTTACTATCAGTATTTTAGTCGCTAGTTTACTGTTATTCTGATTAATGGCTGTAAAGTTCCAATATAGGGTAATAACACTGCTTGTTTCCTCTGAAATCCTATTTTTGATGCATGTCTACCACTGTAAAGTTCCAGTATAGGGTATTAATATTGCTTGTTTCCTCTGAAATCCTATTTGTAATGCATGTCTACCATTGTATAGTTCCAGTATGTGGTAATAACACTGGTAGACGTGCATTAGAAATAGGATTTCATAGCAAACAAGCAGTGTTATTACCCTATACAAGAACTTTACAGTGGTAGACGTGCATTACAAATACCATTTCATAGCAAACAAGCAGTGTTATTACCCTAGACTGGAACTTTACAGTGGTAGACGTGCATTAGAAATAGAATTTCATAGCAAACAAGCAGTGTTATTACCCTAGACTGGAACTTAACAGTGGTAGACGTGCATTACAAATACTATTTCATAGCAAACAAGCAGTGCTATTACTCTATACTGGAACTTTATAGTGGTAGACATGCATTAGAAATAGGATTTCATAGCAAACAAGCAGTGTTATTACCCTAGACTGGAACTTAACAGTGGTAGACGTGCATTACAAATACTATTTCATAGCAAACAAGCAGTGCTATTACTCTATACTGGAACTTTACAGTGGTAGACATGCATAAGAAATAGGATTTCATAGCAAACAAGCAGTGTTATTACCCTATACTGGAACTTTACGGTGGTAGACATGCATTAGAAATAGGATTTCATAGCAAACAAGCAGTGCTATTACCTTATATTGGAACTTTACAGTGATAAACAGAAAAAACACGAATATACTCAAATTCAACTGAAAAAGCATACCTCAATTAATATGAAAACCAAATCGAATATCACAAATTTCTAACCACATCTCAAACAGCAAATCCACAACCAAACAGAATCTGAAATCAATCCAAATTATAAACAAAAAGAAATTAAAATCACAATTTAAAACTCAAACG